AAAGTTGTATGTTTCATCGTTGCTACACTGCACCCTGACTAGCTTGTCTCCTCCCCGTGACCCTTCTGTAAGGGGATGTCCAGTTGCCTACAGATGGGTCTTGGGTCTCCAATCTGCACTCTCCTGCATTAAAAATGATTTGATTTTTTTGTTCTTTGATGCCTGATACTGACCCCTTCGGCACCTCGTGATTGCACAGGCTGGTGTGCTTCTTCTATGGGGGCTTTGTTGCTTGTGAGCTAAATAGGGCTTGTTTACCTTCAAGTATTTAAGATCACAGACACTATGTCTTTTGATAGCTGGGCTCCATCAGCTTTCTTCACCACATTTGCTTATTCACCCGCTTTGTCTTCAGCGATCATGTAGGGAAGGTAAGCGTCATGGAATGACAGTTCAATAGAACAAAGTATTCTTGCATTGAGGGAGTACTTGAGTGGAGGCCCAATGTCCATCTGCTACCTTAATACTAAATCTATAAATATATGCACATAGATCTATTTCCCCATCCTCGTATATAAATATATTTACATATGTGCAAGCCCGTATTTAGACCTCTGTGAATGCCCTTTGCCTCTTAGTCCTTTTCTCTATTTCCTTTTACTTTCCTCTTGTCCCACTATCATGCTCAGCCTTATATGAAGGGTTTTATAGAATATTTTTGTTTTTTTATTTCTTCAGATGGGCTATGTAATCTATGTTTCTTTACAAACAAAACAGACAAAATCTCTCCAGGTTCTTGAGATGAGTTTGGGGTCTAAATGACAAATAAGTTCATCTCAAACAAAGAAAATTGACCTATTTGTCTGATATTATAGATGCTCAATAATTGATAGTTACTGTTCACAACAGCACAGTATCATTTATTCTATAAGGTAAAATTTGTAAAATTATTTAGATACTTCTTGTTGTGTGCAGCCATTGTTTTTGAGTTGTAGTGATCCTATATAACAAAGTAGAACTTCCGAGACTTTAATCTTTATGGGAGCAATCACCAGGGCATTGCTCCCACAGAGTCACTGGGTAGGTTCGAACCTCTAATCTTCTGGTTAGTAGCCAAGCACTTAAGCATTGTACCACTGGCTGCCTTCTTTGATACTTACAGCTTATGTATTCTCTCCCAGCCTGGGATTTCACAGATCGTTCCTTAAGGAGCCCTAGTGGTGCAGGAGCAACACACTGGGTTCTTGGCCACGAGGTCAGCCACCAGTGGTCTGAGGGAGAAATACAAGGCTTTGTGGTCCTGTAAAAAGTGCTGTCTCGGAATCCCGCAAGGGCAGTTCTACCCTGTCCTGTAAGGTCACTAGGCATTGGAATCCCCTCAAGGACAGTAAGTTGGGCTGGTTTTAGTTTTTGCGTCTTTTCTTTATATCCTTCTGCTACACAAATTCATTGACTTCTCTAAATTGTATCAAATCCCAACAAGGCGTACTTCCTGCAATATCTTTCCACGAGCCCCTGGAAAGACAGTGTTCGTGTCACCACATCAATCAGAGTGGTGTGTGCAGAGGGAGGGCCACTTCCACTGCTTTTGCCCTCTAGTTGGGTTTGCATGATATGGGGCTAGGAAGTATGTTTATTTTCTTAAATCTGTTTTTTATAATAATATGTTTAGAGATGTATAAGCCTGGTGCCATTTGCAATAATGACAAACGGTAAAATTAACTACAAACTAAGCAAAACCTAAAAGTTCAAAACATTTTAAATCTACCAGTGTGAAATGAAAGGTACCCATGGGCATGGTGCCCAATGTTATAACTGGATTTGAACCCTTCATGATTTTGGCCTTGTCCACTTGAGAACATAGCTCTTCAGAATTAACATGCCTTTAGCAGGTTGCTCTCTTTTTTAATGAGGGCAAGAGATGAGGTGGAAGCCATTTCTATTTTTCTCATCCTTTTCCCAAAACCAAGTGACCAACACCACCATGGAGTCCTGACCAGGGTAGGACTCAAGAGGGCTGAGTCTGTTATGCCCCTCCGATTTTGAACAGGACATTTCAACCAAAGAAAGTATCAAGTACAAAATTATGGGAATCTTTTAAAACAGTCTTTCACTGATAATGGAAAATGTTTTACAACCTCGCTCCACAGGCCTTCCCTACCTTTGCCCAGATTGCAGCCGACAGTCCAAGAACAGGACTGATGGCCAAAATCACCAGGGTTAGCTCCCAACCGCGTGTAAATCCTACGATAAAACCGGTGAGGAAAGCTGATATCGACTGAAAGAACATTCCGATTTTATCACCAATTCCATCATTAATTTTGGAGACATCACTAAAAGAAAAGAGTTAGAAAGAAATGTTAAAATTATAAACAGTTTCCTCCTGAGTCTAGTCCCCACCACCACCATTCCCCTTTTGGATGCAGTACCAGGGGACTTCACCAAATTCATGGGGGGGAAAAAGGAATTTAAGAGATAATGGAATTTCCCCCATAAACTTTTGGAAGCCTAGTATATTTATGTGTCTAGAGGCTCTCTCATGCTTGTGTGGTTTGGCAGAATGCAAGTTTCCAGTAGGCTATTTGTCATTAAGAACAGTGATCTGCAGTCCATGCGGCCCTGGAGAATGGGCATGAGTGTACATTAAAAAAACTGTTCACTTTAGAAACTTCCCACCATTCAGAACTCTCATGTGCTTTTTCTATGGCACATTCTTGGAGAATCTCTTTGAGTTTACGTCTACTCCCTCATTCATAGCCAGTCATGCAAGTCCCCTCATGCTCTACCAGGGAATCAGGAACAAAAAGATACACAGTATTAAGACACAGTGGATGCTCAGAAGGCATTTGCTCTCATCATTACTTCTGAGTCATCTACTAACATCTTTCAATAGATCTGACAACATACTACTTCATTTTGTAGGAACCACAAGTGAGTTAAACATAAAACAAGGTACTTACTCTATGAGGCGGGTGTTGAGTTCCCCAACATCATGCACATCAAACCAGCCGATCTCTTGTCTCATAATAGCATGAAAAAATTGTTTTCTAATTTTATATACTTGTCTTCCAGCTGCCAGGCACCAAAATGAAACCTGAAAGTAGGCAGCCACAAGCACACCAGCACCAATCCCACTGTAGTAATAGGCATACCTGAAAAACAACAACAGTGCACACATTCTCTGTGTTTGGAAGTAGCACATCTTCCCCCAACATCCCACTTGCTCTCAGTTCTCTGAACATCTCACGTCCCTAACAAATCAGAAGTTACAGCAAACAGAGTTGATGGTCCGCATCCAGCTCTCAATATACTGGAGAGATTGTGTGCTCTTTCTGCTTTGGCTCAAATCCCAGTTCTCTACTAAAATGTTAGGCAAGGTGCTTAACCCTTGTAAGCTCAGTTTTCTAATTGGTAAAGTGAAGCTAAGAGTTGTAGTACACTGTTGCATGAAATAGACTTGAGCCAGTGCCCACAGATGGCACGCACGTCATTGTGAAAGATTTGTGTGACACAATGGGGCATCACAGTATCAGGTTTTAAGCCCTATTATTTTCATCCTGTCTCCTTTTATTTCATCTGCATCATCTGATGAGCACTCAGACATGGTTCCTGCACACTGGGGAATGCAAATAAGTAAAAGGGCTGGTCAAAAAATAAATAAAGCCAAGAGATCAAAATGATTCTATGGCTTTTTGAGATACTAATTAGGCAGACCTTGAAGGTCAAAAGGCAAGCGAAAATGAAAAGCATTCTTTATCATCTGCCCAGCTGACTAGCATAAATTTTAAAATGCTTAATCAATCAATTAGGAGTAGCCCTTAAAGTTTAAACTCTAGCAAAAAGCATAAGCATATTGTAAAACTCTTGATTATCTAGAAAAGCTACATCAATGTTTTCTGCTCTGAAGTTTTATATTTAAAAAAGCACACAACTCTTGGGGTTTATTACACAATTCAATTTTAAAAGCAAACATTCCAAAATTAAGTGGAGGATTTTAATCTTTCCGTTTTCCAAAGTTCACAACCCGCCTTCTTCAAATGAAAATGCTAGAATGAACCATGCAGAAACTATCATTTTTTTTATGATAAAAATAAAAACCAGATAGTTGCTGGTCATAATATTAAAACTCTATGAAAATAATAATCTATAACTTATCAAGGGTTCATGAGGGAGGATGGGCGGGGGTGGGGGGGGAGGAGGAAGAAATGGGAAACTGATATCAGGGACACACGTGGGAGGAGAATGCTTTGAAAATGATGATGGTGGCATATGTGCAAATGTGCTTGACACACTGGGTGAATGTGTGGATTGTGATGAGATGTAAGAGCACTCAATAAAAGTATTACAATATATATATTAAGAACTCAGTGCTCAACCTATCAGGAATCTTGGCAAACAAATCTTCCCGAAGCTATAGCTAGTCGTTTACAGTATATTTATCTGGGAGGATGTACTTAAAACATGGAATTTCAGTTAATGAATAACTCAGTAATTAATTATTATCCAGTGTTAGTGATATAGCAGATGGCTAAGAAAGAAATCTCACTTAACAGTTGGAACTCATGCTTTAACCATCAGGTAAAACCAAAAACCAAACTCACTGCCATCGAGTCAATTCTGACTCGAAGCTGCCCTACAGGCCAGAGTAGAACTGCCCCTGTGGGTTTCCGAGACGCAGACGTGGAAACTCTTTACAGGAGCAGAAAGCCACAGCTTTCTCCCACGGTGGCTGGTGGTTTTGAAATGCTAACCTCTTGTTAGCAGCTCAACCTGTAACCCTTATACCACCAGGGCTCTTCAGGTAAGGTATTTTAAGGTATTTAAGATTTTTACTCAAAGAAAACATACTTATATTTGAGCATTTACAAGACAGTCTGTTTCTTTTTTCCTTTCTAATATTAAAGGAATAGCTCTCCCTAGGACTATTAGATAGTACATGTTTCTCATTTCTGAATATATTAACAAGGCTCTTCATTGTCTTTACACCTACCAGGTCATGTACAAAATTATGTGTAATCATTATCACTTACACGCGATCTTAGACATCTATTATAAACTGTGCTGAGATCAAACTTCAAGCTATGTAAATCATTAAAAAACCTTTCCCAGGTGAGTTAAGGTTAGAGTGATTAAATTTACTGTTGGCTGTTATTTTATTTCATTGCTTAGAATCTAGATATTGAGTTTGAAAATATTCTATTAGCATATGTCATCATAACATGACTGAAAACAGCCACAAAACAAACTAAACAAACAATTACAAAGCTACTGAAAAAACATGATTCTTAGCTACATTTTAAATGGTCATTTTGAACACTTCCAATTTTCTCATTTATGATATCCTATACTTACCAATTCATATATCAGTCTAATTTAGACCTAACCTTAATATTAGTACATTTTATGTAGCAAAGTATTTTCTTAAAAAGAATCTACCCTGTCTCTTCCTGTAAAGTCACCAACAGCATATGGCTCTGCTCAGAATTTCAATTCTTTATTGTAATCATGCAAAGTTTTAACCATAGCTACAACTGAATTAGTACAAAAAAGTTTAAAACTAGTAAGAAAAACGTCTAATTACCTGGTCATATCTTTCTCCAGCTTGCTGTAGATATCTTCAGTATTGTTGAGCTGTCCTGTAAAGTTAGAATTACCTAGACCAACACACACAAAAAAAGCATGTCATTTATATATCTTTGTTCTCCAATAAAAAATAACCATATGCAAATGAATGTTTAACCTAATAATTTACATAAATAGATTTAACTATTCAAGCATGGCATCTACCCAAATACTTAACTGCTAATCAGGTGCAAACATATACATGCTCGCACACACACACTGAGTTCGATGATGTTCAGTTGCAAGAAGCAGCCCATACTTAGTGAGAAACAGTCTATCAACAGAAATACTCATGTCCTGGGAATAAAATAGGTTATGGGACATCACTCCAAGAACCCATAACCATATGGAGGGGAAAAAAGCGGAAAAAGCTCCACTGAGCGGAGCTTTCGTAGTATGCATTATTCCCAGTAGGGGAGCATCAAGCAACTCTGAGTTAGTGCACCTAGTGGCATCGCCTGGAAAGTTTCTCTCTGGTCATAGTGAATTTTTTCATGAAAGCAGTTTCACTTGAATCTTGTTTTTTTGTGATGGCCAAGTTAAGAGCACAGCATTCAGCTGTGAAATTTTGTTTCCTCTTCAGGAAAAAGTGCCACAGAAACTGTTGTGATGTTGAACATGGCTTACAAGGGCAGTGCTATGGGAAAACTCAAATGTACAAGTAGTTTTCTCATTTCAAAAAATGTCAATTGATGACAAACCTCACCCTGGATGTCCATCAACTTCCTGTATGGATGAAAACGTAGACAAAATTCGTGCACTCATTCTCGAAGACCAACAACAGACTACTTAAGAGATGGGAAGTTATCTGGACTATCTTGGAGCTTGGTTCAGCAAATATTAATGGAAGATTTGGGAATGAGAAGGGTTTTGTGAAATTTGTACCTTGGGTTCTGACTGGCCAGGAAAGAGAGCGTTGAGTGGAAACATGCTGTGCTTTGAAAGAACAGCTCTGAAGGGACCCAGACTTTTCCCGTAAGGTCATTACTGTTGACGAGACATGGTGCTATTCTTACAACCTCAAAAGCAAATATCAATCAAGCCAGTGGAAGACACCATCATCACCTCGCCCCCCAAAAGCTTATCAAGTGATATCAAAGATCAAGATGATGCTCCTTTGCTTTTTTATGAAGAGAAATGATGCCTGTGGAGTTGGTTCCACCAGATCAGACTGTTAATCAAGTGTTCTATTTAGAGGTTCTGTAAAGATTTCATCCCAGTGTGCAACAAAAAAGGCCTCATTTGTGCCAGATGTGCGACTGCTTTTGCCACTATGACGATGCACCTGCTCACGCTGCCATCTCAGTGCACCAGTTTTTGGCAAAAAGCATCATGCCTCTCTTGTCCCACGCACCTTACTCACTGATCTCACTCTGTGTGACTTTTTGTTATTGTGAATGGAACAGGACATGAAAGGACAGTAATTTGAGGATGTTGAAGAAGTGATGAAAAAAAAAAACGAGGGAGGTGCTGCCAGCCATCTAGACAGATGAGTTTGAAAAATGTTTCTCAAAATGGAATAGCAGATTTGACAAATGTATTAAATGTAATGGAGAATACTTTGAAGGTGATAAGGTGGTTTTGTAAAAAAAAAAAAATACATAGCATTGAAAAAATTCCGTTTGGGGGAGGTCCCCCCTCATAAAATCATTTCTGGGTTTTTGTCCTAATCAATACGTAGTCCTGACGAAATCCAGTTCATACTTGGCATGGACGTGCATACTTCAAATCCACCCTTTCGTGTATACAGTTTAAATCTTTTAAAAAAATATTTATATTGGCTAATGCAAGCATTTTGTCTGATTTGATTTAGATTTCTTAAAATAAATAACTGTAACATCATAAATTGACCACTGTTTTGTTTCTCTCCCTAAACGCACCCACTGTCGTGACGTCCCTTGCTGTCCTTCTAGCCGTGCGTTAGGCAGTACTGTGTGGGATATTTTCTTTTTAACTTTACATCTTGCAAACTTACTTTCTGTGCAACATTTTTTAGCCATACAGACCTATTTTATTCATTTTGACTTCTCTATATTATTATATAAATGTACCACAGCTTAAGGTGGCTGAGTGGTACAAATGGTTAAGTGCTCAAATAGTAGTGAAAAGGTGGATGGCTCAAACCTACCAGAGGTGGTGCCACAAAATACAGGCCTGGCAATCTGCTTCCAGGAGATCAGTATTCAAAACCCTGTCGCGATGTGCACCTCCACACACACACATAGGGACGTCAGGAGTCACGGTGAACTCAACAGCTGCTAACTACGACTTATCTATCAGAGTGCCGCCATATCAAGTCACTCTCAGAATGACCCTGAAGGACAGAGTAGAACTGCCCCTTGGGGTTTGGTAGTTGTAATTTTTATGGAGTAGATTACCAGGCCCTTCCTCCTGAGGAATGGCTCATGGGTTTGAGCCTCTGAAGGTGTGCTTGACCAGTGACCCCCACCAAGGCTCCTTGTCCGGCCCCTGCTGATGGACATTAGGATGTTTCTCAGTGTGCAGGTGCATTTTCAATTTCGCGACCCTCAAGTTGATGCCGACTTGTAGCGATCCTCGAGGAGAAGGTAGCGCTAACTGCCCCTGTGAGTTTCCAAGACTATCACTGTTTAAGGCAGTAGAAAGCCCAGTCTTCCTCCTTAATTGCACTAGATGCACCAACATGATGACATGGATAATCATTCCACTGGCACCGTATGGCTGTTTCTCTAAGATATCTTTAAATTATCAATAAAGTTGTTGATTCCTACAGTCTGATGGGCAAAAATATCTCATGTTCAATTCCTGTGATTACTAGTGAGGTTGACTTGTATATCTTTGGCCATGGGGGTTTCCTTTTACTGTGAAATGTTTAGCTATATTTTTTGATAATTTTTTGTTCTTGATTATCTGGTTATAAAATTGATTTATAATGGATTATATCAATATAAGTCATTTACATATTAGAGATCCTAGAAAAACTTAATTAAAAGAGAATGGAATTTTCCCGCAAACTTTTTTAAGGTAATAGATATATATATGCTGTAAATGTCTTCTCGCTTGTTTTTTAAATTTAGCTTATGGTATTGTCCTATAAATAGTTTTAAATTTTGTATAAATTAATTTTTATCAATCTTTTAACCTTGGATGAAAAAAACAGAAGCATTAAGAGATCCAGAGATGTCCAAAATGTAACATTGGTTGTGATGGGGAAAGTCAACAACTTGCTGGGCTATATAAAAATATTAGTTAGATCATCCCTACTAGAAAGCCAAACATCAGAATGTAGCTTTTTTTTTTTCATGAAATACTTGCTTAGACTCTTGATCACTGTCTCTTCTGCAGCTTCCAGAATGCCAATCTCTTAGCTCGCCCATCACTTGATCCTTCTTAGTCTCATTCAATCACTGTCTCTTCTGCAGCTTCCAGAATGCCAATCTCTTAGCTTGCCCATCACTTGATCCTTCTTAGTCTCATTCACCATCTTTCCTTCATGCTGGCTCCCTCCTTCCTTAAAGCTGATTTTTCCTAGCATTTCCTGTACTCCCTCGGGTGACCTCCGCCACTTGCCAACGTCAGTGACTCCCTTATCAGTCTAGTCAAATCCTCTTCTTGTGGTCATTTCTCTGTTCAAGCCTCCATAATCTTAGGCTTCTACTTTAGCAAGAGCCTCCGAACTAGTCTTGCTGCTTCAGTCAGGCCTTCAATATTGCCGCTGGACTTTCCCGTTGGGAAAAAAAGCATCATCATATTGCTTCTGTTAATCATCTACAGTGATAGTCCACTGGATTCAGGATAAAGTCCAAGCTTCATAAAATGTCTTATTAGGCCTTTTACAACCTTGCCACAAAATATATGAGACAGGATAATAGTTTTGAAATGTCAACCAGTGATCTTCAGCGACTTCCTCACTAGAGAAGCTAGGGCATGGTGCCTTCATGCTCGTGAAAGGGAGTTGCCAGAGCATAAATGCAGATACAGTGCACGTTTCTTCTCGGCTTTTGTAAACTCAGTCTATATGCTTGGGAGTGGAGAGGAAGGGAGCATGACAAAATATTTTAAATTTCACAAAATTAAGCACTGCTCTTATGAACTGAGGGGGAAATATAAACGCTGAGAATATGCAGTGGAGGACTGACGGCAGCATAGAGACCAGGTCCAGGAAAGGGAATCTCTTGTCCCCTGCCACCTAAACAGACAGAAGCCGAGAGCAATGCTCTGGAAGTGAAATGATGACATAGTAAGTTAAATAGTAAGTTGAGCCAGATAGCCCCTGAACAGCTTCCAACAGACACCTAGGACATAGAGAGTTGTTAAAGGAACGCACTGCTCCTCATCCTCCTGAGAGAGAGCCACAGAAGGGGATCGAGAGATCTTGATGTCTATATAGAAGATGACACTGTGCCGTGCTTGGCCCTCACTCTCTTTGCTTACTCTGTAGGTCTCCCAGACTTACTACAGGGGAAGATGGGGCTACCCTGAAATAAATATGAGATTGCTTGCTACCATACTGTCTGGTGGCTTTGTTGGATAGGCACTGAACCACCACCAACAAGGTCGGCAGTTCAGACCTACCGGCTGCTTCATAGGAGAAAGATGAGTTTATCTGCTCCCGTAACAATTTATACCTTCAGAAACCCTATAGAGGGTCGCTATGAGTCAGAATTGTCTTGATGGCATCAGGTTTTATATACATGTATGCCACCACTATGACAAAAGGATGATAATACTCTGCACCATTTAAGGAACACACAGCATTTTTACCTGACCCAAATACCTCTGGAAATCCAGCAATTTTTACTACTGCGCATGTAAATACAAAGTGAATAAAATAGGCATGTGGCATAGATACATTTGTGATTCCTTCATAGGTAAAATAATTATTTTCAAAAAATATTCCCCATGTTTTATTGTGTATTATAAACAACAAATAGAAATGGCTTTAAAATGTAAGTGTTGTTTAACAAAAATAAAGATAAAGTCTAGTAGATTCAGGATCCTAGTCGGGGGAGAACCTTATAACTTGGCAGTGAGTATAGGCTATTAATGGTTAGCCCTG